TCCGGAAGCCGCCCGTGGCGCAACTTCGCCGGCCCGCGCGGCCCGCGGACTTCTCACTGCCTGCTCCCGCGAACTTTCTTTCCTCTCGAGGCCAGACGGCGCTGCGCCCGCCCGCGGCTGCTGACCTGGGGTCTTGGGGAGGTGGGGTAGAACAAGCTGACCCTCCTTTGATGACTTTAGTATAAGTGAGCAGGAAAAATTAACCTAGGCCCTATCCAGCTGCAAACTGGGGATTCTTCCCCAGGCAGAACCTCCAGGTTTCTACCTCTACCTCAACTGCTGTTTAAAAAAAAAAAAAAAAAGCACAAAAAACTTCCAAATCAAAGTATTAAAGCTGCCTATTATTTACCCCTTTTCTTTTGTTTCTTTTGGCCCTCCGCTTTTTTTCTAGAGGATAGAACCCAAGGGTCTTGTACAAGACGGACAAGCGAGCAAGCAAGCGCCTTACCACCGAGCCACATCCCTTCCCAGCCTTAGCTTCATTTCTAGTAAACAAGTTCCCTTAGTTCGCTCTCAGATTGGTAGGCAGACAAGTTGGTTTAGGAATAATTAGACCTTAGAATGTGCTATATGAAATTTAGCATTGTGTCTGGTTTTAAGCCTTTAAACATGAGTTCTGTAGTTTACTTTAATTTTTATCCATGAATTTCGTTATTATCCCCCCCTACACACACACACATACACACAGTTCATAGTTTACATTGTTGGTTTTCTTTTTTTTCTTTTTTTTTCGAGTCATGTAAATACTTGATTAATAAGGCAGAAAGATTGCCAAACATTTCCATATTTTTATGTCAAAGGCACCCAAAAATAGATTGAGGAAGTAAGTGATTTTATTTACCACTTAACTCTCAGTTTTCAGCTCCTTCATTTGCTAAATGAAGTGGATATGCATAATATCCTTAAATCTTGGCATAAAGAAAGATAACATGGTAGGTCTTTCAGTACCAGTCAAGCTTCCTGAAGTAGTTTTTAGGGTGTTAACTTGTACTTCTGTTATAGAATTGCCTTTATATTTATGTCTTGGGTTTTTTGCTGTTAAAGAAGAGATTTTTATGGTAGTGTGACTGTTGACAGTATTGAAAGTACTGTTACTTACAGCAAAAATGCAAAATTACGTCTGCTCATAGTTCAAGGATGGCAAGACAGGAGTTTAGTGAACACGGTACTTTTATTTCACTGGCCTGAGTCTGTTCCTGAACTTCATTCCTGGTGAGGTCTGACTCCTGTGCTATAAAAGGAAGTGTAGTTGGATTTTCAGGTATCAATAACCTTCACTGGACTCCCACTTGCTGAAAACCCACTAGATATAGGTCACGGCCATACTTTGGCCTAAGGTTTATGTTGTGTAGTCATAACCCACAGCAAGTTATTGAAAGTAGCTTTGTATTCGTGTAAGAAAATATTGAAACTTAAATTTAAAGAAATCACACACAAAATGTTGACTTATAGCATAGTGCGAACATTATTTTGTTACCCTAGAATTTTTTTGTTTTAAAAGTTAAAGGAAAGAGGTGTGCTGAAACTGGCCATGTCTTTTATAGTTTAAGCCATTCTTCTTGGGTATTTCATTATGTGGAGATTGAATTCTTATGATTGGCAGAAACACCTGGATGATTCAATTTCAAGAACTTGACTTTGACTATTGTTTTCATTGCATCTGTTTAATGATCTGGTGTATAGTTTATATTCTTCCAGTGTTTGTAGGTTGTGCTTTGCTTTGCTGTGTAGGATAAAACCCAAGGGTCTCATGAACTTAGAGCAGTGAAGGAACTTTATGTGTCAATGAAAATATCCTATAATAGATGAAGTGGCAAGTGATTTTATAATTTTCCTTATATTTCCTCAATTCTTTAATAGTTGAGGTTTTTTTGTTTGGTTTTTTAAAAAGAACGGTAGTTTAGAAAAAATTGGTGGAGAGATGATTGGTTAAAGTGTTTTTACTTACCTCTGTATAGGTTTAATAGGGTTATTCCTCATACAGTAACAGTGCACATTCGGAAATACTGTGCTTTTGATAAAGCAAAGCTGAGGACTGTATGCATTTATCTGGTAAATATAGGGGGAATTGAAAATTACTGAAGAAGCATTGCCCCAGACAAAAATTTAAGTATTGTTTGTAGACTTATGTTGTTCTTTCCTACTTAAGAGAATGATCTGGACATTGTTTTTTTGTTTTTGTTTTTGTTTTTTTTTTTCAGAAAAATACTTGGTTTGTAACTGTAAATGGCATTAAATATGATTTGTAATATGTAGTAGTTTTTTGTTGTTGTTTTGTTTTTATACTGATCTGGTCATCTTCGTGAGTTTATACTAGGAAGTATATATTTGCTGGTTCTACACTTGTGGTCACGTTAAAACGTATTTCGTGTGCCCAGGATTAATATATGCTCCTCTTCTTAGTTCTTTTTGGTAATATTTCCCAGTGCTTATTATCCCTTAAAATTACCGTATTACTAAAGGAGGCTCTCCTAGTTATACTAAAAGGGAGGAAATTACAGAGTAGTCACAGTTTTACCAAGTCAGAGACGAAAAAAATAAGGGTAATGAATAGTTGATCCTTAGGGCTTTATAAGGAATGTGATACAGGGACCTTTGGGAACAAAGAATTTTGTCCTTTATCTCAGAGTATGTAAACATACAGGGATTCTTAAAGGAAAAAAAAAAAGCCATAGTACAATTTAAGATTTGTTTTTTCACCTGAGCCTTACTTCTGTAACAAAATACTTAAATGGACTTGCTTACTGTATTAGCTTAAGCTAAATATTTTCAATAATGATACATTTATTTACTGTTAATGTCCATCTGTCCATTTCTCTTTAAAAAAACATAATCCTTGTTGAGCATTATTTTAGTTTGCTTGGATTTTGGTTTGTTGTTTGTTTTTAAGGAAATTGGATTGTGTTCTGTTTCTCTTCCGTGTTAGTTTCCCCTCTTTCACAGCAGTGAATGTAAATTATAAATAATTCTCTATAGTGATGAGTTTTATTTCCTTGTCTGTTCCTCAAAGCTCTCCAAAATAGTCAGGAATTCCAGTGTTGCATGTAAGTTCTGAAATAATTTAATTTGGTGGAACTAAGAGTCAACACTCTTGATAACCTAGGTGGGAGAAATAAAAGGAGTTAATTTAAGGTAATGTTGATGAAGCTAATCAATTTCCCATATAATTTAGATGCATACACTGCCAGTATGTATGTCTGTGGAAATAACTATATAAAAATTTTTTGCTTGATGCTCAGATCAAACCTCGGCTGGTTTCAAAGGATTAACAAATGGTTTCAGAATTCATTGCAGGGACTAAACTGTTGCTTGGACTTTTCTGTGGCCATGTAATTGTTAAAGTGTGTGTGTATGTGTGTGAGAGAGAGAGAGAGAGAGAGAGAGAGAGAGAGAGAGAGAGAGATTCTAAAGAGCACCACACAATAGCTTGAGATTGCCTTTTCCTGTAGTCATCATTTTAAAGAGTAAAGTGAGAAGACAATTTAAAACTTACCCACCTTTTAGCATTTTATTTAATTCATAAATAAATAGGTTTGAGGAACTTAAAAGAAATTTAAGGGTTTTCACCATAGAGAAAAATGAAACTGTTCAGCGTTTATGCACTTTGTCCTATATAACACAATTCATCTGTGTAACACAGACAAATCCCAAACCCAGACTTCTGTGTTCCTGCCATAATATCATTCTACCTTTGGAAATACTGCTGCTACAGTAAATTTCCTAATTTCAACTTCAAGTAGTCTGGAGAGTAACAGCATTTCTGAGAGTAGACAAGTTTAACTGATAAACATCTGTGTGGAAGAGAGTGGAACGGTAAGCCTTTGCCACAGTATGCCTCTAGTATGCATCCTAGAATAGGCTTTCCTGACTCTGTCTCAGACTGGTACTTCCTTTCCTTCATGAATCTGACTTAGCTTCTATCTTCCTAAGAAAGTGATGGCAACACCTAAAGAAATGGTGATAGAATTGGTTTGAGGGGGGGAATTCATTTTCTTTTCACTGAAGATCTAGTGAATCCTTTGAACACATTCATTTTTGTAAAAAAATAAATAAATAATAGTAATAGTCTATTTTTTTTATAGAGTTGGTCTTTGGCTCTTACAAATTGGGGTTCTTTGTTTTAGAAAAGTACAAAAAAATAATTGAACACAGTTGAGACACTGGGGTTAGAATAATGACCTTGCCATGGAATCACCAACTGTGGAGTGGGTTGGCATACAGGAACAGTTCAGCAGAGCTCCTGCTTTTATTTCAGCCCGTTTTTATCCTTTGATGTCCTTCTGCTTAGTTTTCTGTCCCACATAAACATGTACATACCAAAAATAAAACTGTAACTTTTTAAAATTATAATTAAGAAACAGTAAAAAGCACTAGTTGTTTTTTTTGTTTGTTTTTTTGTTGTTGTTGTTTTTTAAGGTTTTTGAGACAGGGTTTCTCTGTGTAGTCCTGGATGTCATGGTACTCAGTCTGTAGACCAGGCTGGCTTTGAACTCAGATCTGCCTGCCTCTGCCTCTCAAGTGCTAGGATTAAAAGTGCTAGAATTTTAGATTTTTTTTTTTGAAAAAAATTGAAGACTTATAATTCCACAAGATAATCCTCATTTTCTTTTTTAAAAAATAAATACAATAAGTAAAACAATTGAAAATTCCAGCAATACAGAAAAACATAAAATAGAAAAACCCTCTGCTTCTTGACTTATTTCCTGGATATAGCTATTATTATTGATTTTATTAAACTCCCAATACCTTTTTTAGTCTTCTTTTAGCTCAAACACATAATCTGTTTCATCATTATATTACAGACTCATGGTATTCTGTTGCTTAGAAGAACCATGTATCATTTTAAACTACATAAATAATGAATTTATAATTTTCACCCAACTCATCTCTTTAAACAAGCTATGGCAATAAATAATACACACACTTTGATACAAACTTATATGTGTGATAGGCTATGTTGATGTTGATAAAAGATCTCCTGAATGGTTGCATTATTCATATTTTTAGCAATAATGTGAGTCTTCCTCTTAATTTTTTCTGTATATGTACATAAAAATAGATATTGTTAAAAAAACGATTACTTATTTGTAGTTTCGTATTATCTTCTTTCCTCCTTCTAACTTACTGTAATATTAAAAGGTAAATGATCCAAGCTGTTTTGGAATAGATTGTTAAATCGTGACTAGTTCCTAAAGAAACATAACTGTTCAACAAGATAATCAGTTTGATTTTATATTTTAAGCATGCTTTGAGCTGGTAGAAAAGATTTTAGAAATAGTAACAAGGGAAAAGGGGGAGCAGAGTGGTTTGACTTTGGCTTGAGATGTAGAGGGTTCTGGAGTTACAGGCTTCCTCAGCTTTTTCTCCATCACCACCGTGTTTGCAGCAAGTAATCTTGATTTAATTGGTTGCAATTAAGTTTCAATAAACTAATCTCACCCTTTCCTCCTAAACCAGTAAAATTTTATTTGTGACATAAAGAACTAAAATATATAGACTCTTAGCATGTCCTGTCCCCCTCCAGCATGTGAACTCTATTTTCCATCAAGCCCAGCATTTCTTACAGAATATTAGCTCTCTTTGAGCAGTAAGAGAGATGTTCAGTGGAGTACCCTGTGCTTAACAATGCTGTCAGTCCTCTAAACACAGGCCCCTTAAGGAATAGAAAGTATTTGGGGCCTTTTTAGAACTTGAAGCTGGCAACTATTTGCTGATAATACTCATCGGTGTGGTGGTGTTATTTACTGCTGGTGAAAGATCTCTTATAAGGTGAAGTACACCGCTTCCATATTCAGTATCCTATTATTGATAATAGCTAATGCCGTTAAACCTTTTCTACTACTGGACAGTAGTAGTTCTTTTTAGTCATAAGACCCCCCCCTTTTAAGGCAGGGTCTCACTGTCTATTTCTGGCTCATCTGGAATGTACTGTGTAGACCAGACCTGCCTCAAATTCAATAAACTGCCTGCCTCTGCCTCCTGAGTGCTAGGATTAAAGGTGTGCCAATACAATTGATTGCAGAAAGCTTTTTCTTTTTTAATTAGAAGATATAAAACGTTGCAATGTTAAAAATAATTATGTTTAGGAACTGTTTCTCTTTGAGTCCTAATCCATAAGAAATTGTGGTTGTTGTTTATGCCATGTATATTTGTTTTAGACATTTACTTAAAAAGGAGTTCGATGAAGCTTTTCTGTAGTACTGATCAACTTGGCACCAAATGAAGTCATTGAATGATGTAATTGTCCAAAGGTTAGGCTTATAGTTGGAATTAGGATTTTAAGATGTTGATTTGCTGGATAATATGTGTGATGCCCACACCCATTTCACATCAAAACTGTATAGTTCTGCTTTTATGGTTATTATTTCCATGGCATCATGCTCTCCAGCTTCTCATCAGAGAAACCAAACTAAACAACCCTATTAACTGTTCTGGCATGGTAACTTTGAAATAATGCTGGTGTGATATAAGAGATGAATACATAATATGATCTGTACTGTTTGGGTTTGTTTGGTGGTGGTGGTGTTAGAAAAACCATGCTGAAGAGATGAACTGTTCTCTTACTAAAGTTAGAGGTAGAAATTGGACCCAAAAATGTGCCTCAAAAGAAGCCAGCATAGGTCACTACTGGAATCTGGAATGTCACAACACTGCCATGACGTAGGCAGGTTTCAAAATGGAACTTAAATACCTTGTAGAGATCTGTCTTAGATTCCCTGGCTCTTGAAAACTGAACACTTCTCCATTTTATTTTGTTAACTCTCAGGCCTGTTGTGTTTAGCAGAAGAAATATTCTTAATAGCATTTCTTTTACCAGTGACTACTTCCTTCTCACAACATCAATGGGTAGCTCTGGCTGAACTGGCATTTAAGTTCTCCCAAGTTACTGCATTTATCTAGAAGGAACTTATGTTTGAAGATGACTTGTTTATAATTATAAATTAACGAATTGAGATAAAACAACCCCACTGTCAAGTGGTAATATTAGTAAAAGTAGTTGCTGCCAATTTTCTTTATATTTTCCATTTAAGGTTGTTAATGAATGAGTGGTACAGAAATACCTGTAAGCACTACACTTGGGATGCTGAGGCAGGAGATTGTGAGATCAAAGCTGTCTGGATTTTAGAAAGGTCTTGTACTTCTAGAGGGTGAGGTGGGGATATAGCTATTGGTGGAACATTTGCCTGGATTCAGTCCCTAGTACCGTGGTCAGGGGAATATAGTTGTTTCTGCCTTGTGTTTCACTTTTTTTTTTTTTTTTTTTGAGCTTTAGAATCCACTGACAGCAAACTTTGTGTATGGTTATTTCAATATAAGTAGGATGAAACCTTTTTCTGAAGATTTTTAAGTTCTAAAACCATACCTCTTAGCTCACTTGTATTTTTGTTTTTAAAATCAGAATTAATTTCATACTACTATTTTTGCTTCTAGACCCAAGAGTGTTTCGACTTTTTCTTTAGGTTCAAGCATAATGGAAGGGAAAGATCATTTGAAAATTTTTGTGTTAGACATTAAAACTTAGTGTAGTTTTTGGGTCTAGTCATTGAGTGCTTCTTAAAATGTTTATGAAGGTATACTATACAAAAATGCTAATTTGTTTTCTTTTCCCTTCAGCCATCTGTTGAGTCTTCAAGTCCAGGTAAGTATTTTTATGTGTTTTTATAATCCCATTTGACTATTTGTCCTGTTGGTTAACATAAAGGCTAGAGGAGCTAGACTGTCATCTGACTTGATTTTCTTCTGTGAATGCTTCTTTTTTTCTGGGGAAAAAGAAATGGATGAAATGTTTGACTGCCCCTGAAAGTACAGGTGAGGCTGCTGTGAGTTCCTCTTCCTAATTCTCTGGGTTCTTTCCCTCTCCACTTCTCTTTGTTGCTCTTTCCTCCTCCCTCTCCTCCACTCTTCTCAGTTGCTTTATGTATTTCTTATAGTTTAAAATTGTTATTTAATTGAAAGTGTATATGAAATAATGCTTTTGAAAAGGAATTAGTTACCTTTAAGATATTCAAAGACTTATATTTGATTAAAAAATGGTTAATGCATTTACCAATGAAGGGAATAGTAAAATAAGCCAACTACTCAGCACGGGTGTTGCATTGGAAACATAAAGAATTTATTCATAGATTTGAGTAGGATAGGTTGTATATACTCTTTAACTGTGTATCTAGGCTTGTTATATTCTCCCTTAAATACCACACACATTTTTTTTTTTTAACTTCTCAGGAGTCCTCTTAGGTGTGTTTTGTTTGAAAATATCTCACACATTGAATATTTAGCAAAGTTTAACATCATGTTGCTGAATTTTACATAATGAAGCAATAAACGTTTGTATTTAATTTTATATTGGAGGGATTCATTCTTTTTTGGGAGTGTGTTTTTTTCTTTTTTCTTCTTCCCTCCCCAGACAGTTTCTCTATGCAGCCCTAACTGTCTTGGAACTTTTATGTATTTAACATGAATAATCTTTTTTTTTAATGATCCAGCATGCTTTTCACGGTCATAAATTGTTATGTTCTAGAGGTAGGATTAAATTACTTTTAAATAACTTGAGTGTTGACTTTACATTTGCTTTTATCTTTATTTCAACTAAAGACAGTTTTTTGTATTTTCTGTAAGTCAAAGAGTAAAGTATATTGGTCTTTGACTTTTTTTTTTTAACTTTGTGGTTTAAAAATGAGTTCAGGATGGTTAGGAGTTAGAAGCAATGAGATCAGAAAAGTGTTATATCTGTATTGGTTGAGGGGGTATAGAACTATTTCCAGTATTTTTTTCTTTTAAAACCCCAGATACGAGTTTTGCTGAAAAAAGAAAATGGGTTCCCTTTGTTTATTCCTATAAGGTTGCAGATTTAGTAAGCTTCAGAGTTTCTTTCAAGGCATTCATCAATAAATATATAAATATCAGGGACTTTGGCAGAAGGAACATTTGTTGCTATGCACAATTATAGAGAGAGTTACTAAAGTTGATAGAATTAAGGATAGAGGCCTCACGTAAAAAAAAGGCTACTCTTCATAGCATCTGTACTTGGGAGTCAGTGCTGGCAGTGATAGTCACATAACTATGCTAAATGACTTGTCTATTGGCTCAGTCATCATCATCTGGAGTGCAGGCACAGTACAAAACCGTTATATGTGAGAGTTCTAGGAGAAGGGAAATATATTTATTTATTTATTTATTTTTGATTTTTTTGAGACAGGGTTTCTCTGTGTAGCTTTGGAGCCTATCCTGGGACTGGCATTGAACTCACAGAGAACCTCCTGCCTCTGCCTCCTGAGTGCTGGGATTAAAGGCATGGGCCACCAATGCCCAGCCAGAGGGAAAAATTTTAAGTGATTAAACTGGTATACATAATACATTGTAACCTAAAGTTATCTTTGTGCCTTTAAAAAGATGATCCAAAAGTAGATGACAAAGCAATGATTATCTTAACTCCCTAGCAAAATACTTAACCTGTACAAAGCAAAAGATGTTATTATTGAGCTTCCCCTCCAGGAAACTGTCCTAATAATGGGTCTAGCATCTGGCAGACAATAATAGGATAGTTAGTTGCTACTTGCAAATAAGATAGTAAGAACTCATATAAAATAAACATCAGTTTAAGACAAGAAAATAGAAAAAATTGCAAATTTATATGTGATATATATCTGGGAAAGGAGTTGAAATTAGAAAAGCAGCTCATCTACACTTTGGCATTTCGTGTAGTGGGGGGAGTAAGGTGACAGGTCTTCAAGTAGAACTGTCTGCAAATGATGACAAAAGATAAGAGATTTCAGGTAAGTAGTATGATCATGATTTGGTGCTGTGTACTAGTGAGTTTGGGAATGTTTAAGTGGATAACAGTATAACATTGAGTGGTAATATTTAGCATAATTATTTTTGGAAATATTTATACTAAATAAAAACTATGTTAAGTTTAAGTTAATAATGTCCAGAGAGAGAGGGTTGGTGATGTAATCTTTTTGTGTGTAAGGGTGTTTTACTTGTATGTGTATGTATAAGTACTGTGGATATGCCTAGCTCATGGAGTTCAGAAGAAAAATCCACTAGAACTTGAGTTAAAGATGGTTGTGAGCTACCAGGTGTTTGCTAGAAACTGAACCCAGACCCTCTGCAAGAGTAACAAGTCCTCTTAACTGCTGAGCCCTCTATCCGGTTCCAGTAATAGAGTTTTTAAAGCATCTTTCTGTCCACAAACATGAATAAAAGTGTAACATCATCTGTGAGACTTCATCACCGTTGACGGCTAAGTGTCTCAGTAGAAAGGTTTCAGGAAACTGAAAGGATGATAAAAACAAAACTTCAAGTTAATGGTTCTTATTTGTACTCTCATAGGAACCCTCGTGCCCAGTAGTTCTCAACTACTATTGTAATACCAATAAAACTAAGACAGTCTGTTATAAGAAATTAAGACAGGATGCCTATTTTTCATATAAATTATTCTGAAACTTGCATAATGATTAATAACTCACTGTCCTTACACTTGGAAACAAGATATGTAGGGGACTTACAGGAAGTTTTGAGCACAGGAGTGGAAGTTACAGCTAGGACTCTGTTCCATCTTTGCTGTGTTTAGACTGTGCTTCTTACATTCCTTAAGCCTGAATCTTGCTTCTCCCTCCCCCTTTTAAATGGGGTGCTAAAACCTACTTTATACCACTGCTTGAGGATTGAGATAATGTTTGTCAAATGATTGAGCTTATGATTTGGCACATAGTAAAAAGGCGGGGGGGATCTTCTGAATATTGTGAGAGTTGCCTGAAGAATTCTAATCCATTGGTATGCGCCCTGGTTTCTTCATTTTACTTACTGATTCTCTTACAGAATGAAATTAAAGTGATTGGCATGTCTGTTAATGCAACCCTTAACAACTCGAGCCTATAAGAAGAGCGTTCTTTTTCAATGTTAAATGACATACTTATATAAGTAAGCAGTGCTTTTGCATACTGAAGTCTTGGTTTGGCAGTAACCTAAATGTGGGAAATGTCTACAGAACACCCATATTTCTAGCTTTTGCAGTCTCTTTGAGGGTAACCCTATTGAATCTAGTAACATCACCCCAAACCAGGCTAAGTGTTGATTAGGATATATCAGTTCCTTTGAGTTACTTGTATTGCCTTTGATAAAAATTCTATATATGCTCTTAATACATTTTACTTCTGTAATCCCTGAGTTATTGTAGATCAACTGCATAAGACCAAGATAATACTCAAATATTAGAATGTTTTCAAGGTAGTGCTGATAGTACATGATTATTTTTACTCGGTGGTCCAGTGTTGCTTAACAGCAGACTCACATTCTGATAAACTCAAGAATCATGGAACATACCTCTACAAGCCTAGCACATACCTAGACTATATGGTATAGCCCTTTACATTCCTGGCACATAAAGTGTAGCCACTATACAGCCTGTCATGGACCTAAAAAATCACTCTGCAATATGTGACTTCAGATTTTCAGGGACCAGAGAGACTCTGAAAACATTAGAAAACAAAAATTGTTGTTTTTTTTTTTCCCTCCATAAAAGAAAAGATCATTCTTACTTAATAGAGCTTTTTTTTCTTTATAGCTTGAGTTTCCTGTTTAGAAGATTATAGCAAAACTTTTTAAGTTACAAATATTCTACCCCCATTTTGCAGTATAAACTGATCATATAGGAGTGAGCCTTGGCAAACAGTAGTTCCTTGCAAGAGACTTTTGGGAGTGGGGATGAGTAAAGATAATAATGTTTTGAAGCAAAAGCATTTACTGTGTCTGTCTTTTTCCTGGTCCTTTTTAATTTACATCCAGCCTCAAATAAACAGTGTACATATACTAAAGTAACATTGGTAAGATGCACTTTATTTAAAAGGTTTTACCATACATCTGGAAATGTTCTTTGTAGGAGGCTCAGCAACATCAGAGGACCATGAGTTTGATCCATCAGCTGACATGCTGGTTCATGATTTTGATGATGAGCGAACATTAGAAGAAGAAGAAATGATGGAAGGAGAGACAAACTTCAGTTCTGAAATAGAGGATCTTGCAAGGGTAAGTGAAGCAGTGTAGCATGTGGAGTGGGGGACACCGAAGACTTTGGTACTCTGTTTATGCTGGAAAATTTAAATACCCATAGGTGAATTAAAAACCATAGGTGGGCTATTTTAAAATTTCAAATTGAGGCTAAAAGAATTATTGTGTAAAATAATGGAATTCAGTAGTAGTTCTTGGTAAAAACATCATAGATCTGTCAGAAATGGACACTGAAAGGATCCTGAATTTTCTCTTGTGGCCCCCATACCACCTCCAATTACTGCATCTTTTATTTACTCTCTTCAAAGCCTAAATGTCTCAAATGTCATTGTTTTCCTCTCTCTGATTAAAGTTTTAGATTGTGCCTGCCTCTTGCTATCAGGGTTCACCTTTGACCTTTCTACACTCATTGTTCCTTCTTATTCTTAGGAACTTTTCTCTTTCATATTCAGCACAGCTTACCATTCTCTCTCCACTCTGCTTTTCCCTGTACTCTTGTTTTCCTTTCAGTGTCCCTGTTCGTTCTTCTTTACCTAAAGTTTAAGTGTTTATACTTCTTGGTTATTGGACCTATTCTTCTGTCCTTGTCTCTATTAGGTAAATGCTCAGAATATACATACTATAAAGGTCAACCGAATCAGAATATGCTTTAGACTTCATAAATACAACAAATCTCCCAAGGGCAGGCCCCCAGTCTACATTTTAACTAAGCAAGCTTGAGCCACCTGAATACCAAATCTGAAAACTGCCAAGCTGTGTAATCTAATCTATTTCATGGTCTCTGCTCCGTGTTTCTTAGGTTGTATTTTTGGCTTAACTTGACTTTTTCCTAAAATATTTTGGCAGCTATCTCTAAAATTGTGAACACTCAAAAACAACACTTACTATTCTCTCCTTACCTGTTCCTTCTCTAGCTGTAACAATATCACTTTTAAAATAAATGCTTGTATTTATTTACACTGAAGCTAGGGAGAGTGTTTCTTTCTTTACCAACATTGAGTTTCTAAATATACCTGTCATTGCTCTCCCCTGAAATATCTCTAACCAGTTCTTGCTCCATATCTACCCCAGTAGGTATTTTTCCTATCCTAGACTGTTATGACCACTTCCTAATTGGTTTCCCCATTTTTGTTTTACTATATTTCTTCCAATAGATTTTCATGCAGTATCTATAATGGCCTTTCTAATTACAAACCCTTTTATTTCAACCTCATGTAACTTCTACAGAAAATCTAAATTACTTAATCTTACTGCAAGACCAACTGTTTGATAGGACCTTTTCCATTTACCACAAAAACCCTGTTACACTGTACCTTACTAACTGCTTTTGTTCTTGGGTTAGCTAGTTTGTTCCTGCTTTGAGGTATGTTTGGCAATCTGGGATTTGTTGCTGCCCTCTCTGGATTTGGCATTGTCATTCATATATGCTAATTAGTTTTAAAAAATAAACAAAATTCCATATCTTCTTCAGATGTTTTAGTTTTGTTTTCCCACCACAGTTCATATACTTTTGTGTGCATATATACTTAATACATATAGCCTTCATTGATTTTATAAGGGGATCTAGTATTCTCTAATAAAACTTGAGTGTATGACCTAATTTGCTCCTTTGATAAAAGAAATGTAAAACACAGTTTCTTTATAGATAGAGAAAATGAATGACAATATTATTCTTCTATAATAATTATCTATGTTTCAGAATTTAGGTGAGGCTTTGAAAGGAGTCCTGATACCATTTAGTTAAATCTTGCCAGGTCCTGTTGGGGATCCTTTAGTTACTAAAACTAGCATTATCCACTATGCCTAAGCAAATTTTTTAAACTTTGACCAGAGAACTGAATTTATTTTGATGTTATTACTGTGTATTGGTTTTCACAGAGCCTTTCAAAACAAGCTCATGCTGTACTAGGTAGGGGTCAGAAACAGTCTTTAAAAGTAAGAAGCTAGACAGTCATAGCTTACTTTTTTCTGTAGGAAATGGTAATTGAAATTTATAGAGGTTAGAGAAAGAAAGAAAAGAAGAATGTATCTAATCCTGTATGTTTTCATCTCAAGCAGTCTTATACTCTCTCAGAATCTTCCCTGACTTTCCACATAGAGCAAAGTCTTAGGTTTAACTATCCTCATATCTACAACTTTTATAAACTGAAACTAAGTGGTATGATTAGATTTCCTGTAGTTATAAACTTCATAGGTATGAACCAAACCAATTTTTCTTTAATAAATAAACCAGTTTATTTGATTACTCATCTGCTTTTTGGGGCTCGAGACAGTGGTGAATGAAGTTCAGGGGGTGGTGCTTTACATTTGGACCTTTCATTGTATGAAATCTGTTTTGTTCGTTTTTTTATGTAATTGTGGGGGAACTTCACAGTTCATAAAGTAGCAATACATTTAACAAATGTATTTCATTCTCACCTCTATTTGAGTTCTTTCAGATCAAAATCAACTGAATTACTTCAAAGATACTCAAATATTAGAATGCTTTAAAAGTAGTTTTAATTTCATTCAACTTGAATTCTAAACTTTTCATTGATTACTGTTGATACAGGCTTTAATGTATGCAGCTAAAGCTGCATGTATCATGCCAGTAATAAAAGGTATTAAAGAAGTCTTTTTTTTTTTTTTTTTTAATTTGCATTGGTGTGAGGATGTCAGATCCCCTGGAACTGTGCTTATAGTTGTGAGTGCATGTGGGCCTGAGAATTGAACTTTGAACCTGGGTCCTCTGGAAAAACTGCCAGAGCTCTTAACCACTAAGCTATCTTTCCAGACCCCATATAAATCTTACATTTAAATATTTTAATACAATTAGATGAATTGATTAGAATTTACTGTGATACTAATAAGAATGTTAAAATTATGCACACAATTCATGAAATTTTGTGTTTGCTGTAAATTACCTGTATCAAAATTTAACCCTTTTCCAGTGCTGTTAAAATTCAAGAGACATGGGCACAATTGTAGCACTACATTCAGAAGAAAGATGAGAATCAACTGCATCTATGTATTTAAATACATTGTAAAAGAAAAAGACTTACTAATAACATCTGTTCTTAATACATATTAAAGCACTGGACACATTCCCAGTGAAGCACCAAAACCTAGGGCTAGGGATTGAGTGGCTAATGAGAGTGCCCACACTAACCTTGAGTGCATATTTTCACCTTGTGGTAAAAGCTATCTCCCAATTTCTCAATTTGTCACTTCTCTGAATTCTCTTACTAGAAAAAAAGTACATAAGATTGAGATTTTCTTGCAGTGTGCTTGAATAAAAATGAGACCATCACTACTCCTAGGTATGGTTGAAGAGAAGGTTTTTATTGTCGATACGGAGAGAATAGCGAGAGGCGTCTGGAAGAGTCCAGACTGAACATGAGCATGGCCAGCAGAATAGCCCTGTCCATAAGAGAAGTGAGAAAGGAAATGAAGAGAAAAGGGCAAGAGGGGAGGAAGACCAAGAGAGTATTTGGCTGAAATGGCTGGGTTATCTGGGAATCAGAAGCTGGGGCAAGGGAAATCGAAGCTCAGGGACTTGAAGAGGTTTAAGGTAAGGTAGGGGGTGTGAAGTGCTGAAAGGAGCCAGGACTCTGTGCCAGGTACTTGAGATGTTGAGAGAACTTGAGGCCTGCTGCACTTAGTATTCTAATAGGTACCACAGTTAGCTCTTTGCCCTGAGTTTCTTTGGGACTTGATAGTAAGTACAGGCTGAGTTATAAATATTAAAGAAACCCCACATGAAAATTATGAAAGAAATTTACTGGTTTTATATCTTTGTAGTTTGTCTTCTAGTCAAGTACTAGCCCCAAGTGATTAGTTACCTTAGGAACTGTCTTTAGTCTTGATGTGGTCCATTAGGACTTATCTCCTCTCTTCATAGTCTTGCATTGCTAAGTCTATTTTGGTACAGTAGATATGTGAAGAGTAATATGCCCATCCACCAGATGCCCTGCTGTGAAAGTTTGCATTTGTGCCACATGCATGAGAGAACAGTCATCTCTTCTGCAACCAGGAAGCTGATGCTACTCTGACCTTGCAGTACTATAGTGTGTCAGTGTTTCATGGCTTTATCTTCCTGTCTTGACTTTAATCCAGAGACAATGGTTTTCCTTTTCTTTTTTTTTTTTTTTTATGTTTGGGTATTTTGCCTGCGTGCATGTCTTTATACCATGTATGTGCCTGTGTCTGTGGAGGGAGGTCAGAAAAGGGTGTCAGGTTCTGTGGAGCTGCAGTTATAGACAGTTGTGAGCCTCTATGTGAGTATTGGGAACCAAATCCTGGTCCTCTGCAAAAACAGAAGTGTTCTTAACCACTGAGCTCTTGGTGTTTGTCTTTTAATAGCTTGTTCTTCTAAACTTTAGCCAGTGTCCTGTTAGCTTACACAGATAGGACTGCCCCACTTTTTACTATAGCATTTATAAACTTTACTTCCTAAAGTACATCTGTTTTTATTCAGCCTGTGTCTGTCTTTATCCCTCAGAATCTTATCTACTCAGCCCTTGTCTCATACTGCATCAGCATGATGAACATTTAACCTGACACCAGCTTTCAAGGAGGAAAGTATATGTGCATATATAACTAAGTAAGCAAGCCAGTGAGTTAGGTAACCTGGGTTCTTAATTCAACCTCACTTTTCCATAAGCATATAACTTGATTATCATTGTTAAACTTCTATCCTTACAAAGATAATAATGTAAAGCACAATGTCTGGCACATGAGAAACTACTAAATAAATCTTAGATGTATCATTCCTGTGGTTCTCAGAGAAAGCTGATGCACAACTGTGCACATGTACTATATGCTCCATAGCTTCTGCTCTCTGTCCTCCTATTCCTATATCCTTACTCCTAGATGGAGGATAAAACACACCTACTTCAGCATGGTGTTTAAATGTAATCGAATGAAATCCCTTAATACCTGGTAGAATGTGGACTTTGATAACGAAACTAGTAAAATGTTCTTTAGACTAGGAGATTTTAGACCCTTGTTCACTTATGTTCTACTGGCCAAGTTTTAAT